TTGACTTAGGGGAACGTCGTTGAATTTGGTTTGCTGGTTGTTAGCGATAACAGTTGCGTTGAATTGGCGCAATTGTCTAGGTTCGAATTCCACTCTCAAGTGAATTTCCTCATTTTTGCTTCCCGAATGCTCCTCACTAACGTCGATGTTTGGATAAGCAGCAATGCGAAGAGCTTGGAAGGCATATTCCAGATGCTTGGCGGATGTTGGCTGTACATTCTCGTGTTTGATTTCAGCTTTGATTTCGTTGAGGTAGTTTGCCTCAATAGTCATGTTTTGGCAGGCGGCCAACTGACGATTGCCTTGTTCCATTTCGTTCTTGCAAACCTGATACATTGGCAGCTTTTGCAATGATTTCCTGCGAGATTCGCTTCTGCCCATATCAACTATTGCTCTCACATTCGTAGGCTTCCGCCCTTCTTGGCTCTGTTGCCATAACGCTTCGTATTTTGCGTTAACATTAGTATTCAACATAGTTGTAAGGTCCAATTCATTGGTATTTTGAAGGTGTCCCTTGACTTCAAGTGAGGCCTCACAAGGCTTTCGTGCGTTGTTCTTGTAGGCAAAGACCATTCGGGATTCAGGGTTTACGTTACTTTTCGCGAAGGCCCATGAGAATGTGTGCTTGTCGGATTGTTCTCCTTCGAACTCCACGGAAGCATCAACGCTCTTTGACCAGGCGTTGTTGATACCGGAGCTGACATGTTTCAACAGTTCTTGTTGACGGCTTTGGCTGCTGCCATCAAGCCTCGACCACATCTGCTTCAAGTTGTAAAATTCTTCCTTCCTGGCGGCCTTAGGCTGGCTGTTGTATTGCGAGTGGAATCCGGCGTTGATCTTTACCTTTCGGTTTTGTGAATTCTGTCTGTCCTGTTCTACGTTAACTTCAGTTTGTTCTAGCGTGGTAGGATTCCATACTTGGCTCAAGGCGCTGATTACTCCTTCCGATCTGACGGCGTCCAGGAATTGCCACAAAGGGGTGGGCTGTTGTGAGCTGGAGCCCCAAACACGGAAACTCATGCCTGTTTCTTTCTTACCCCAAACGAAGTCAAATGGCTTAGCGTTTACATTTTCTGGCCTAATGTAGTGGGTGTTGGGTCTCAAGGCAGCTGGAGTAAGACTCATAACATCGCTTCTCGATGTGTAGGGCCATGAGCTGAAGTGGAAAAGACGCGCATTTTTCTGAGTTTGCTTTGATTCGATTTCAATGGAAACGGTTTTCTTTGGAATGTCGACTTCCACGTTAGCTTTCATAGGCAAATGGATGTGCATGTTTTTGTCATTTCCGGCAGTGTAGACTTGATGATCAAACGGTGTGATCACACTTAACTGACTCTGAACCTTCGCACTCACTGTGGTAAAACCTTCGACTTGAGCAGATACTTCCTCGGGGGTACGCAGGACCTTTCCATTGGAGATTTCGGGCGTGGCACGAGCTACCACATTTCCTTCGGCTCGAATCAACAATGGAATGTCGTAGGTGTACAGGAAAGGCAGACCCAATTCAGTGGGCAGTGAAAGCGCCATTTGTCTCAGTTGCTTCAGTTTAGTGTACTGGAATTGCTTGCCATTCTTCATCATCTGTTCCTTTTCGCGAATTACTGCAAAAAATCGCTCATGTGAATGATTAAATTTTTAAAAAAATATAAAATAATTTTACTTTTAGAAGCAAGGTTTTCGCTTTCGGTGCAGCAGTAGAATGAAAAAGCCATAAGCCTAATTGTTTAGACATAAAGAGTTTTTCGGTGTCCGATAATTA